CCGCTTTTCCCCCCCTTTATCTAATCTGCTAAGCCTTTAATAGCCTTTAATAGCCTTTTAGCAGCTAATCCCCTAAGCCTTTAAGCCTTTAATAGCCGCTAAACCGCTAATAGCGCTAATAGCGCTAATCCGTCAATGGGCTTGCGAGGCACCACTGTATGTTATGTTAAATATATATTTGAAATGTGCTATATAGCACTATGTCCCTTATTAATTAAATATTAGTTATCTATTTTTCATTAGCTAGTAGGCATTTTCTAAGTCTATTTCACTCATCCTACATGCATATCCATGGAATAATAATAATAATAATAATAATTAATAATAATTTTTATTTTTCATGGTTGTTGCCCGTGAGTTTCTTTTATTCCTTTAGTAAACTTGTTATATTGAAATATAGGGTGTTCTTTTTTGTTGCCTGTATTTTAAACTTTTGTTTCAATATAAAATAATATTAGATGGCAATAACTTTAATTAAGCATCAAGTCTGTATTTTCACCAAGTTGGGATAAACCATCACCAAATTTCACTGCGTAGAAGAGCAGATCAAGGATGATGGCATTGGCCGAGTGGGGGCTCAACTTAATCATGAAAGATGCATGTGATGGCCTGGCTGGTGATGCAAGGATTAGTCCACGAAGTTTCAGTCTTTCCTAGGTGGAAGCCAATAATTTAATGCGTTCCTGTTTCATCTCATGTGTGTGACAAGATTTTAATGCGGGACATCTTTTCTGGGCACTCAATCTGAGGTTTTAGCCTGCTTCAAATAAATGAGGAAACATAGAAAGAAAATTACCTTGGGACGGGGACAGTCTTTTTCTTCGCTTTCCTCCCATGGTTATATAGCGCTTAGAGGAAATTTGGGGGACTTAAAAGAGCAAGCTCAGTCCCTGACTCAGGATAAAGAAGTAGTAGTCATAGGGATATGCTGTCCTGTGTTTTATGGCTTTGATTCGGGGATCACATTGGGGGGAGGTGTGGGGAGAAGCAGGATGGGACTTGACAGCAGTTGCTAGAGTGTTTGTATATGCTTATGGTCTGCTAGGTAAGCAGCTGCAGAGGCAGATAAGATAAGCATTCCTAGGTCCACTGACAGTAAAGAAATTAGGCTTGTATCAGTCATGTTGCAGGTATTACTAGCTATAAATAAGGACAGTTACCACAGCAGCGTATAGCTTTGTATTCTCTCTTCCACCCTCTGGCTCTGTGCTTCCTTTAACACTGTTCCTAATGGAATTCGTAAATGAAAAATGTAGATGATGTTACTTTCCTGTTGAGAGACTTGAGCTCTTGCTACTCTCACTGGTGAAGATACAGGAAGAGGAGTTTGCAAACTTAAGGAACATGAAGCACTTTAGTACTGACAATGTAATAAAGCTAGAGAACTTTGGTCTGCCTAACCAGACATGTTGGAAATTTTTTTGTGGTTATCAAAGTTGTACGGGTCTAGTGGAATGAGAGAAGGTGACCAGAGACTGTGGAAGGCGCTTTATCTGTTTCCATAGCTTTTAAGTAATTACTAGTGCTAAACTAAAATATGGAAATATGTATCACTTCAACTGGAGTTCACTTCAAATAATGGCAAAGTGATCTAGCAATTTTTCTGGGGGTTATAACTTTTTCAGTGAAGTTGTTGGGGTTCTGGAATGTCCCCTGAAAGCAAAGCCAGTAGAGGAGGAAGCTGCTTATAAATGCCTTTTATTCCCCACCACCACCCTCATTTTCATCATTCTGAGCACAATTCAAAGTGTTGGTGCTGACCTTTAAATCCCTAAAGGGCCTTGGCCCAGTATACCTGAAGGAGTGTCTCCACCCCCATCATCCAGCTTTGAAGGCCTTCTGGCGGTTCCCTCACTGAAAGAAGTGAGGTTACAGGGAACCAGGCAGAGGGCCTTCTCAAGTAGTGGTGCCTGCCCTGTGGAATGCCCTATCATCATATGTCAGTGAAATAAATAACTATCTGACTTTTAGGGAAGTTTTTAATGTTTGATGCTTTATTGTATTTTTAATATTTTGTTGGAAGCTGCCCAGAGCAGCTGGGGAAACCCGGCCAGATGGGCAGGGTATAATTATTATTATTATTATTATTAATCCCATAGTAAGGAAATGCTACACACATCTCAAAACAAAACCTGCCATCCTTCTGACCATTATACAAGATTATTTTTATATTTTAAGATTACTATTCAGGTTTCACCTTCACTACTAACAGAAGCACTCACATCTAACAAAAACATTCACACACAAATACCCTCCTTGTACGCCTCCCACCATCTACCCACTTCACATAGTTTTCTTTCTTCACAAATCCTTTTTGTTTGTCAAGTGATACAGCAAGGAAAATGTGGTGTTTCACTTTCTACTACCGAATAATTACATAGATGTGCAAACATTTTTGCTTCCTTCTTTTGGAGATTATTGTCTGTCCTATTGTATGAGGAAATTGACTGAGACTTTGAGAAAATGCAGTTTAACTGGAATTAGCTGACAGGGTTTCCCCCCCTTCTGTAAGTTCACTAAATGAGCCACATTTATGAGACTTTCATCTGACAGTGCTTTCTCCCCCAACAGATCTGGATTTGTCACTTACTCCCAGTGGAGAAGTTATTAAGCAGATTGGAGAAGCACTGCCTGTATCCTGCACAATCTCTTCCAGTAGAAATGCCACCGTATTCTGGCTGAAGGTAAATATTGTTAATAACCCTGCTATTGTCAACCTGCTCATGCAGCTGCTAACTCTTTAGATCTCTTCTGGCTTTAAAGAACAATAAGCAGCATTCTACCCGGAACTTCAAAAGGAGGCTTTTATCTGCATACAAATTAAATTAAATCACACTTCAATATCAATATGATTAAATATCATTTTGAATATGTTAAGATGTAGTGCACTATCAGGTCTTTAAGGAATAGCGAATGTGGAAGCTTGCTCAAATCTGATCAGTTTTGGGTGTGTGTTTTTTTGTAAAATTAGGTAATTATATATTTGTAATGGCTTCCAGAAACACACAGGAATAAATAGCCTTGCTCAAAGGTGTGAGTGGGTTGGATACTTGTAGTTCTGGCTACTTTTGCCGCAGCAAAAGATAGTAGCAATTCTCCTACGCTCCATGTTCAGTTTCCAACATCTCCAGGGCTGGGGAAGAGCTCTGTCTGAACACCTGGAAAACTACTGCCAACTTAGACAGTACTGAGCTAGAGAGACCAGTGGTCTGACGCTGTATAAGGTAGCTTTCTATGTTTCCCCTCACATACTTGCTCTTTGGGAACAGCAGGGTACAAATGACCTACAGATTGTGGTGAATAGCAGGGATGGAGAACATGTGTTCTCCAAGAAGTTGTTAGACCTAGCATCCCTGACTACTGGCCATGCAGGCTGAGATTGATGGGGGTGTTGTTGTTCAGTGGCACCTGGAGAACCACAGGTCCCCTCATTCCAGCTCTATAGAGTCAGGGCAAGCCAGCTGTAGTTGAGGGTAAGAGAAGGCAGGAAAGGCTGACAATATCAGGAGAATACATGTGCCTCACAAAGAAGCCTTAGCCCAGGCACAGGCAAACTCGGCCCTCCAGATGTTTTGGGACTACAACTCCCATGATCTCTAGCTAACAGGACCAGTGGTCAGGGATGATGGGAATTGTAGTCCCAAAACATCTGGAGGACCGAGTTTGCCTATGCCTGCCTTAGCCCCTAGCTTAGTTTTAACAGTGGGCCACTGCTGTTTGGGTATATAAGCTTGTGCCAATCTAGCCAGCTCCAGTTTCACCCAGGAAAGGAATTCTAGTAACTATCTTTGCTATTCATCCTGCAGCATTACTGCTGTGGTACTGTCTCTGCCTTCAAAGCTGATGCCAGGTCCCCAGGATTGTAATGTGCAAGTGTCATAGCTATTAACCCTTATGAATGAAAGAAAACATTCAGCTTCACCAGGTCTAAGAACCACTGAGAGGTTACACCGCTTGTTTCTTAGCAAGGGAAATACCAGTCTGGCCCATCTATCAACCAATGAAGAAAGCAACTTCATCTCCAACTACATCCCCCACCTACCAGAAAGAAAAAGTTGTTTCAACTCTTGGTTGCTCTGGGAGTGAATAACTGAAGGGAAGCACCCCTGATTCCCATCCATCAGGAAAAGAACAAAAGCTGCTGAGTTTTTTGTACACATGAGAGGGTTTTTTTAATGGTGGTGGGGGGATATAATTACAAACTGCTGTTGGGCAACTTGAGAATCATTGTATTTCAAGACATGGTATAAATCTTCAAAATAAACATTTTATCACTTTAACTGATGGAGAGGTTGAGAATATCAAGGTGTGATTGTTTGCTTTTTAGATTAAAAAAAGTGGGGGAGGGGACAAATGGAAAAGATGGAAGGCACAAGGAGAAGGGGACGACAGAGGACGAGATGGCTGGACAGTGTTCTCGAAGCTACCAGCATGAGTTTGACCAAACTGCGGGAGGCAGTGGAAGACAGAAGTGCCTGGCGTGCTCTGGTCCATGGGGTCACAAAGAGTTGGACACGACTAAACGACTAAACAACAACACAATATAACAACAGTTTTGTAGGGGAAGCAAAATCCAAGGTCCTCTGCTGGCAAATTAGGTAGTCTCTTCAAGTAGTTAACACTGTGAGTTGGTTGTACTA